TAGGGAGAAGTCTTTGTTCTGTCTGAAGGACTGCCTCTTATTCTATGTACAGGTTTCACATTAGCACAATGAAGTGTTCTAGAATTCCTGTTCTTTACAGTTTTGTCCATAATTTGTTGTGATCTACATAGTCAGATGCCTTTTGCATTGTCAGTGAAACACAGGTATATCTTTATGGTATTCTTTGTTTTGAGCCAATATCCACTTGATATCAACGATGGTATCCCTCATTTCTTATCCTCTTCAGAGTCCAGCTTGAATTTCTGACAGTTCCCTGTCAATGTACTGCTGTAATCCTTTGAGAACTATCAGTTGAGATATTTGTTGTTATTGTTGTTAGATGCCATCAAGTCAGTACTGACTCATAGCGACCCTATGCACAACAGAAAGAAACACTGCCTGATCCTGGGCCAACCTCTCTATTGTTGCCACGCTTGAGCCCACTGATGCTGCCAGTGGCCAATCCATCTTTCTAGGGGTCTTCCTCTTTTTCTCTGACCTTACCAAACATGATATCCTTCTCCAGTGACTGGTCCCTCCTGACATCAAAAAAATAACATTTCAAGATCTATCCTAAAGTACAATACTGCCTGTATGATAATACCCATACACCTACAAAGAAGACCAGTTAATACAACTATTATTAAAATTTACCTACCAACCATTAATGAAAAAGATTAAGACATTGAAGATTTTTACAAAGTTCTGCAGTCTGACATTGATCAAACATCAAAGTGCATTGATAATAACTGGTGACTGGACTGTAAAAGATGGAAACAAAGTAGGATCGGTGCTTGGAAAATATAGCCTTGGTGATAGAAATGACTGTGGAGATCTACCTCATGATAGAATTTTGAAACACCAGCAGTGTATTCATTGTAAGTACCTTTTGTCAACAATATAAATGGCAAATATACACTGGACCTCACTGGATGGAATACACTTGAATCAAACTGGCTACATCTATGGGAAAAGACAATGAAGAAGCTGAATATCATAAGTCAGAAAAAGACCAGGGGCCAACTGCAGAACAGACTATCAACTGCTCATATACAAGTTCAGGTTGAAGCTGAAGAGAATTCAAAAAAGTCCACGAGAACCAACATATGACCTTGAGT